CTTCATGGTCTGGAAAGGGGGCGGAGTCCAGGTTGCGAGTGGACCCAGCCGCGGGCGGGGCGGTGGGCGGGGCGCCGCCCGCCGGGAGGGGCGGGGCCTTACCAGCTGGAAGCCGATCTTCCAATCCTTCCGGTCCACTTGGGGGTTGTTGTCTCGCACGCTGGACGTGGCGCTGCGTGCCCGGCGGGGCTCGGGGGGCGGGGGCGGGACCCGCAGGCGCTGCAGCGGGTGCGGCAGAGTCTCCCGGAGGTCACGACGGCCGCGGACGTGGGCCGCGAGGATGCTGGAGAAGTTGTATTTGTACAGATCAAAGAGCGTCTGCGCCGTGACGCGGTCCAGCTCCCCCAGCTCCTCTTTAATTTCTGGATACCTGAAAGGGGTGACGGGGAAAGGGTCGGACTAGGGGCGGCCTCGCGCGAATCCCTGGCCCGTCTGGGACTCAATTTCCTCATCCTGGAGAAGTCTGCAGGGGGGATGGCGCTGGTGTCTCCAGGGCTGTCTCGCGAGGGAGGGGGTGTAGAAAGGTGTGTCTGCGGTAGGCGTGGAGGCGACAGCGAGCCCGGCCGTGGCTGCATTTATCGCCACCTGCTTATTGAAAGAGAGAGGCAGGAGGCGCCTGTGGGGCGCTGTCCTCCCACCTGCCCCGACCTGGGAGGGAACCCGGAACTTGTCTGCCCTTTTCCAAGGCGGGGGCCTCGGCCTGGGCTCAGGCACTCCCCGAACAGGCGGTGCACGCTGGTCATCCTGCCCTGACCCTCAAGCGAAGGTGGCCTTTGGGCCTGTTTCTACCACCCGGCACATCTCATCTGCACTTTTAGAATCTAAAATACTTCATGCCACCCCTGTCTCCCCAAAAGACTCAGTTTTAATGAGCTTTGCCTGGGGTCCAAACACCCTAAATTCAACACTGTTCAGTTTAAATCCTCACATTTCTTCTCAAGAGAAGTCTTATTACCGTATCAATCATGAAAGTCCAGAGTAGCAGGGCCTTAGGGATACAATCTACTCAGACAAAACAAACACCTAGACCTAATAAATTAAACCAAGTAGCAGAGTACAAAACCAACATAAAAATTACTAATTATATTTCTACATACTAGCAACAAAAAAATTGGAAATGAAATCACAAAATCAACACCATATTAAATAACATAAACATCCAGTACCCAGGAATAAATCTAACAAAAGATGTGCAAGACCTCTACACTTAAAACTACACTGAAATCTCTGCTGAAGGAAAGACCAAAATAAATGGAGAGATATTATATGTTCATGGATCAGAAACTCAGTGTAGTTAAAACGTCTCCCAAGTCAATCTTTGGATTCGATATAATCCCTATGAAAATTTCAGCAGACTTATTTTTAAGAAATCGACTTGCTGGTTCTAAAATTTAAATGGAAATGAAAAGAATATAGAATGGCCAAAACAATTTTGGAAATGAGCAAAGTCAGAAGGTTTATTCTATCTGACTTTAATATTTACTATAAAGCCACATAATCTAAACTGTGGTTCTTGGTGAGGACAGACAATAGGTCAATGGAATAGAATAGAGAGCAGTAATAATTCACGCATAAGAGGGTAATTCAAATGGTTCAGGAAAGATCAACTGATATTTGATCAAAGCACCGATTCGATTGAGTGTGGAAAATTTTTTTTAATTTTTAACAGATTTGCTAGAACAAATGGATGATGTATGGGGGGAAAAAATGACCCTCCACCTCTACCTTATTCTATACACGAAAATTAATTCAAGACAGATCACAGATCTAAACATAAATTTCAGAACCATAAAGACTCTAGAAGATGGAAGATATCTTCATGACCTTGGAGTAAGCAAAACTGTCTTGTAAGAAAAACATCTAACAAATAATCTCCACAACAATCCTATGAGGTAGACACTCTTAGGAACATATCTACATTTTTAAAAGATCTCTGCAACCCTCATACACTGCTGATGAGAATGTAAAATGGTACAACCACTTTGGAAAACAATATGGAAGTTCCTCAAAAAGTTAAACAGAGTTACCAAATAACTCATCAATTCCACTCCTAAGAGAAATGAAAACATACACCCACACAAAAAATTGTGCACATATATTTATAGCTGTATTATTCATAATAGCCAAAAAGAAGAAATGTTACCTGTCCTGGACTCAAGGGAAAAAAAATGTAAAAACAACCCAAATGTTGATCAATTGATGAAAGTATAAATAAAATGTGGTTTATCCATACACTGGAATACTATTCTGAAACAAAAGGAATTAGGTACTATACATCCTACAACATGAATCTTGAAAACACTATGCAAATGAAAGAAGGCATTCACAGAAGACGACTTATAGTATGACGTATTTACATGAAATGTCCATACTAGGTAAATCTATAGAGTCAAAAAGTAGATTAGTGGCTGCCCACAGCTGGGGGTTGAGGGGTGGGGGAAAGGTGAGTGATTGCTAAAGGGGGTGGGGTTTCTTTATGAGGTGATGAAAATGCTCTAAAATTGTGGTGATAATTGCTCAACCCTACGAATATACTTAAAACCACTGGATTGTACATATTAAGTGGGTAAATTGTATGGTATGTGAATTATGTCTCAATACAGTAGTTATTTTTTTAAAAAGAAAAGAGAAAGATCTAATGAAGAACTCATCCTGATATATAAAGAACTCTTACAAATCAACAATAAAAAGACAAACCATTTTTTAAATGAGCAAATATATATATATATATACATACATACATACACTAACAGTCACTAAACACATGAAAAGGCACTCAACATAATTAGCTTTCAGGGAAACGCAAATTAAAACCACAATGAGGTACCATTTAACCTCTATTAGAAAGGCTAAAAGTAAAAAGAGTGACTACACCAAATGCTGGTGAGAATGTAAAGCAACTGCGATTCTCCTAAATTGATGATTGGAGTATGAAAGGGCACAACTGCTTTGGAGTTTCTTATACGTTAAACATACATCTGACCCAGCTATTCCATTTCTAGATATATTACTGATTCCACTCCTAGCTATTATCCACAAGCAATGAAAACAAAGACTTGTATAGGAATGTTCATAACACTTTTATTCACAATAGCCAAAAAGCTTGAAACAAAACCACTCAGCAATAAAAAGGAACTGATACATGCAAAAAAATGGAAGAATTTCAGAAATATTAAGTTAAGCAAAATAAGCCAGACACACATACAAGAAGATACATATTGTATGATTCCATTTATATGAAGTCTAAGAACAGACCAAACTAATTGCTGGTGATAGAATTCAGAAAATGACAGTGGGAGAGGAAGAGAAATTGAATTGACTGGAAAGGGGCAGCAGGTAACGACAATGTTTGACATCTTGACTGTCAAACCTTAGTGGGCACTCAAGATTTGTTTATTTTACTGTATGTAGATCATACTTCACTTACAGAAAAAGTCAAATACCAACTCAGGGCCCTACTTGCCAAAGACTCAGGGTTAGAGGGTCTGGAGTGGGTCCCAAACCAAGGCCATTTAGCAGACCCCCCACGCGACCCTAATGTGCAGCTGCATTCACCACCGCCCAGTCCACGTGCTCACGTCCTCCTCCAGCCCACCCATGTCCATCTTCATTGTAAAGGCTGGCTGGCAGGGCCTCAGGCATCAGCTCTCACAGCCCCTCATAGGAGAAAATGGAGCTGAGATCGAAGGTGTGAGTTTGGCCTTCTAAGAGACTTGTTTCTATTGGTCATTAAAAGAACAGCAATAATAGCTTGTATTTACTGAGCACTTACTATGAGCCAGGCACTGTGGTATCAGTATGCACTTTATTTAATTAAATCTTCGGTGTAACTCAGTGTACTATTAGCCACTATTGTCATCCCCTTTTCCAGGTGGAAAACCTGAGGCACGATAACTTGCTCAAGATCTCGTGGCCAGGAAAGGGGTCAGATCACACTCCAACAATTACCCTGCTCTTTGTTCTGGCCCTGCTATTTTCAGAGGGTCACATCGTGCCCCAGAAAGAGCAACAGTCAGATTCAAGTGGATGTGGGTCCCGCTGTTCCACACACTCTCAAGCTATGTAATGTTGGATAAGTAACCCACCCTCTCTGAATCTCAACCTCAGTGACTCAGCTGTAAAATGGGCATAGCACCAGCTCTGCCTACCACTTGAAGCTCTTGGAGGGCTAATTCATAAAACATTGAGTGACACACAGTGAAGAGACCACTGACTATCAGGAAGATGTGGACAGGGGCCTGAAGCCCAGGAAAGTGAAGTGTCTTTCTCAAGGTCACACTGGAAGAATCCAGGTCTCCCAACTTGTCTGGAGTTGTTTGCACAACAGGAGCCACCACATCTCTGGCTGGGTCTCCTCTTCCCCGAGCTGGCTCAGGTCCCTCTGTGCCCCTCTTCTGCCTCTTGCTCCATCCTCTCTCCCACCAGCTCCAAGCTGTCTGTCCCTTCTCTGGCCACATCACCCTTCCCTATTGAGCCGTGCTCTACAGTGGTGACTCCCACTCAGGTCAGCACCCCCCAGGCTGCGTCAACCTGGCCACCACCCCTGCCTGTCTCTTCAACAAGAGCCCGCAGCCCTGGAGCCCCCGCCTGCACTCCTGACAGGTGCCCCTCCTCCTACCACTGCTCTTCTCACTGGGCTCCCACCAGCTGCCCCCAACCCTAGGATGCCTTTGCCTGGTCCCTACTCAAAGCGTAATGGGAGGGCCGGCCCGTGGCTCACTCGGGAGAGTGCGGTGCTGATAACACCAAGGCCACGGGTTCGGATCCCATATAGGGATGGCCGGTTTGCTCACTGGCTGAGCGTGGTGCTGACAACACCAAGTCAAGGGTTAAGATCCCCTTACCGGTCATCTTTTGAAAAAAAAAAAAAAAAGACAAAGCGTAATGGGAGGAAGAGCTTTGAAAGAAAAACACTTGGTTTGTGACCCAGCTGCTAACCTAAGATGTGCCAGCTTTGGGTAGGGGGTGGGGGTGATTTTTGAATCCCAGTTTCACCACTTGCAACCTGTCTGAACTTGGACAAGTTACTTAACTCTCTAGGCCTCAGTTTCCTCATCCATAAAATGGAGTAACAGTGGTACCTACTTCCAAGGTCTGTTGTGAGACTTAAATAATTTAATAACAAAATTTAATTTAAATTTAGATTCATTTGTTAAAATGTCCGGCACATAAACATATAAAAGTGCTAGCT